TGTAAACTTGTCGAACGCAAAAAATTCGGTCTGATTTGTTTTCCAAGAATTTGTTTTGCACGCCTTATCTACTGTGATCAAGAGCCCTAATTGCTCTTAAATGTGACCGAAGACTATTTTTTGGGTGTACATATAAGGCTATATCAACTCGATACAAAATTTGTTTCACTCCAAAATCACTTAGCTTTTCCCTCAAAAGTCACATGAATGTGCCCTTACGTTAACTGATTTGTGGAATACAAAATTATTGTTTGATTTAAGTTATAAATTTATCAATGGGAGCTTCGCTTTTAGCTGTGGCTAAATATATATATTAAAAGACTAATAAAAGAATAAATATCAAACCAGAAATTGCTCTCTTCAAACTGTAAATTATAAATGATCCTGAGAGAATATTCACTGTGTTAAGGATTTCCCTGCTCTATTGTTAGCTCTATACAAGAGAGGAAGGGCGATTCTTTTTTAATTTCCGTTTCGCTGACACAGCTGTAGCAGAAATTTCCCTTTAGTCGTTTTCGTCGACAAAACGAATAGCAATATTGCTCTCCGCGTCTTCCGCCATTTTTTTCTGCCTCAATTCGTGAACGACGCGTGGCTCTGAGCGTGGGTCATCCACGCGGAACACATTCGCGCTATGTGATTGGCTGTTGTCTAATCCCCCTTGGGATCTGTGGTCTTAAAAATAAGTCGAGACGAATTACCTATTGAATAGGGTGTGTATGGGGGATGCCTTCTCTGTCCCCTTTATCCTCTCTTGTATATACTTATTCAAAGAAGTCTACAGAAAATGTATGAGCGAAATCCATTTTGTGGGCAAAACTCGATATGAGGATCTTACAGAGACTGGATCTTACGTTTGAGCTTATTTTGTAATGTTTTTCCACAAGCGACTACTTCCTGTAAGCGACCACTTTTCTCTTCACCAAGGGTGGTCGTTTATTCGAAGAGAGTTGACTGAACTTCAGTGTAGGGGGAATCGTTTCGTTCAAAAAACACGTTCTTTTCCAATGTGCTGAGCAGCGATGGAGGTTCTACAATACCAAGCCTTGAGCCTGCGACTGCTGCTATCGCTTCCCTTAGGTGCATTCCTTCTAATAAGCACTCCAGCCAATCACTACCAAGAGTAAAGGGCAGACGGTAACTGGACGACGGTACCTCGCCAAAACAGTTCCATACCAGAAAATCTTTTTCAGAAATAACAAGATGCCGCAGCATACTCCTGGCCTCAACGTCTTCTGGTGGCGGAAACTGTGCTGACTGTGTCACATAACCAAACATTGCGCGACGAACAGGTGGTTTGTGTTTAAACTTCTTAGGTATCAATACAAATATTTTTGGCTTGCCATCAAGAGAGGGGCATTTATCGCTTGTGAAAAGCGATGTGATCGTCTTGATGTCAATGGGCTTGTCATCAATTCCACATATTCCATGTTCTGTTCCAGTGCTCCGGATGATGCAGCAAAAACAGTCGTTATTGGAAAAATCTCTTTGTGCCGTGTCTGTTAGGGCCTTTAACATGTCACTTGTAGTCAGGTAAATATCTTCTCTTGTCGTAAAGCCGAATCCCTCTGCGAAAGCTTGTTTTTCTGATTCAAACAAATAACTGGCAGTATGAGTGGGATCGTTGTTTATTATCAAGACATAACCAGACCTCGCGATGTAGTCACCTTTGACCACCTGGCTGGGCTTTCCATAGTTTAGTCCTGCAAATATGTGAATACACTTCCATGACACGAAGCAAATTAAAATTCATTGCAATTGAGTTGCAGTAAAAATCCGCGGGTAAGAACCAAGTGTTTTAAGAACCTGCTGGCAGAAATTTGCCCCAAAATATAGGAACCTGCTTAGCCAACCAAGATCAAGTAAGTTCTTATATGTGGGTTATAATTTAATAACTATTAACATAAACCGTTTAATCACTGAGTTTGAATTTTAAATCGCAAATTTATACAACAAGGAAAAACTTTATGTACTTATTATTTATTGAATTTATTTGTTTTCTTTTTATTATACAACTCCCATTCTAGAGATGATACAACATATACGTACATTCTGTAATGAGTTTAGTTAGGCTTATCATAGTACAGATCAGTGTGAATAAAAACTGTTTATTATAGAGAGCTAAATCCGCGAGCGGGCAAGATGAAGCGAATCCTGCCTTCTGATTGCTTACCAGAGTGGGTAAGTTGGGATCATCTTGCCAGCTCGGGATTTCAACCGTTGGTCCCGCATTTAAAGTTCTCTTTCTGGTCATATAATGAATCTTTTATTGACCAAGCTTGTTCGACTTCGTCTCGGTCAATAAGAAACGTAAAAAAAAGATTTTGGCCAATATTCATCCCACTAAGAACCCAAGTATATTTATTTTTTTTGGTAGTCGACAAGACTATATCAGCTTCAAAGAAATTAAGAACCTGATTAATTAAGAACCCACTTAGCCTATTTAATTTCCATTATTATTCATTCAAAATACTCCCCGATTCTGATTGGCTAAACCGACGCACACTCATAACTCACCTTATTATTCATTCAAAATATTTTCCCGATTCTGATTGGCTAAAAGCACACGTTTAATTCACCATAACCAGTTACTGATGACCAAATTTGGAAGAATTATGTGTTTAACGAGGAAATGACGTCAAAAATGCAGCGTTTTCGCGGGTTAAGGCACCGTTAACCGAGGACCTGGGGACGAGGTCGAGTTGTTTTGGATGTGAACTTGAAAAATGGCGGACATTTCACTCATTTCAAGAGTAAGAACTAGGCGAAACAATAGCTAAAAACATGGCAAGAACAGCGAGAAGACAACTTGAAGGGCGACATATGCAATTTGGAGAATATTTGCGGAGTTGGACAAACCTAGACGTGCACTATCGAAGATGAACTTAACATCGATGGATCGATGGAGGTATTACTAGGAATTATTTTGAATGAATAATAAAACAATTATTGAATTCAACTTTCGTATCATATGAAGAATTATGGAGATCTCGGAGGGTGTTATCCGCCTCGGATAACACCCTCCTCGATCTCCATAATTCTTCATAAGATACTCAGCCTCATTCATTAATTGTTAAATAACCACCTACTGATGACCAAATTTGGAAGAATTTTGCGATTAATCAACCGATGACGTCAAAAGTGCAGCTTCCTGGCAGGTTAATGCACTGTTAACCGAGAACACCTGGAGACGAGGTTGAGTTGTTTTGGTTGTGAAAACAAAAATGGCGGCCATTTCACTCGTTCTAAGAGTAAGAACTAGGCGAAATAAAAGCTAAAAACATGGCAAGAACAGGAAGAAGACAACTCGAAGTGCGACACCTGCTATTTGGAGAATATTTGTGGAGCTGGACAACCCTAAACGGGCACTATCGAAGATGAACTTAACATCGATGGAGGTAAGCATGTTTTAGCTATGTTTTTAAACTAGGAATTATTTTGAATAAGTAATAAAACAGTTATTGAATTCGGCTTTCGTATCATATTTAACAATTAATGAATGGGGCTGAGTATCTTATGAAGAGTTATGGAGATCGAGGAGGGTGTTAACGGCCGAACTCAATAATTGTTTTATTATTCATTCAAATCTTCGATAGTGTACGTTTAGGTTTGTCTAGCTCCGCAAATATTCTCCAAATAGCAGATGTCGCCCTCCGAGTTGTCTTTTTGCTATTTTTTGCTATGTTTTTAACTATTACTTCGCCTAGTTCCAGCTGTATTTCTTCCTCTTGAAACTAGTGAAGTGTCGGCCATTTTTGTTTTCACAACCAAAACAACTCAACCTCGTCCCCAGGTCTTCTCGGTTAACGGTGCATTAACCTGTAGCGGGCTGCATTTTTGACGTCATTTCCTCGGTAAACACAAAATTCTTCCAAATTTGGTCATCAGTAACTGGTTATGGTGAATTATACGTGTGCTTTTAGCCAATCAGAATTGGGGAAATATTTTGAATGAATAATAATAAGAATTATGGAGATCTCGGAGGGTGTTATCCGCCTCGGCCTAAGGACTCGAAGGATAACACCCTCCTCGATCTCGACACCATAATTCTTGATTAGATACTCATTATCATTCATTTATTAATTGTTAAATAACTACCTCAAAATATATAAGCCTTTTGCCAGACTTAAAAAAGGCCGGTTCTCACACGCGGGTTTTTAATGTAGTACAGTGTTTTTCCGGTCTAATCAGCAAAGAGCACCAGAAGGACGTCTGGATCAATTTAATAAATCAAACTCGATCGCGGCAACGCAATAATGAAATACATACGGGACGCTACAGGGGATCGAGACTCACAAAACCTTCAAAGAATTTGTATGGCAATTTATCGTAAGGTCGTGAAAAGGTTAAAATGCACATGAACAGCCATTAAAGTACACATATTTGATAAAGATATATCTCTGTGTTGTTTTCTTACTATTTTCTCAGGGGCACCCAACGACGGTTTCCTCCTAAATGCACTGAAAACACTTTTTAAGCTATCCAGAATACTTTTAGATCTCTAGAAATGTATTCTAAGAGGCGCTGAAAATTTTTATCTGTTCGGTCATCCTAGGGCAACTTGAGTCTTTTCGAAAATACAAGGGATTCAGTATTATTTTCCCGAAAATTTTAGAGACAATTTAAATTTTTACGAAAGTAATAATTTTTCTGATTCCTCTCTGCATCGAATTTTCGGTTCCGAAAATTTTAGGTTGCCTTTCTCTACGAAAAGTAGCTTAACCTTGGAAGTGAAATGGGAAAAATTGAACTTCAGAAAATTGAATTTATTAGATAAGCTTCGAAAATTGTACATGAATGGAACGGTCATCTATAAATTTTTAGCCTTCCTCAAGCTATAGAAAATTCTGGGCAATTTTTGCTTCTCCGAACAGATATTTCACAAAAAACAGTCATTGGGTGCCCCTGTTTTCTGCCTTAAATACGCGTCGTTTTAGCAAGATTTGATGTCAGTTTGGTTTCTTACCTACAGTGTACTAAGAATAAGAATGTCTTCTGTAGGCGTGAAACCAACAGGAAACGATAAGAAAACAACAAAATGGCCAATAATGTGCACTATAACCGTTTTACCAATCTTACAATAAATTCCCATACAAATCCTCATGATACGAGAAGGCTGTGGTGAGTCTCAGGGCTCTTTGTGGTGACGCCTCCTTCCATTTGTCTTATTAAAGAAAGCAAGCAAGCAAAGAAAGAACGAAAAACTAACAGACAAATAGAACAAACAGAACCAATGCACTCGAAAAAGGAAGTGACAGGAAAATCGAATGGCACATCAATGGGTAAGGCAACTCATCAGGGGTATCATTTTCCTACCCTCTTGGCTTCTTGATCAGTAAGGAAAAAGAAAAGAAACTAATTGTGTATCTTACTTGCATGAAGCTCAGCCAATGCGGGTACTGCCCTGGATGTTGTCGATACTGAATAACCTAGCGAGAATAAGGGAATACAATTATATGCAAATCTACTGCCTCAAATTACAAGTTAAACAAACAGGTGCTTGATTTTGCAGTTTGCCACATTCTTTGTATCAAGTTTTTTTTTCTTTTTCAAGAGAGATTTATTGGACAATTATTCTCTCTTATATTGACATTTTCTATCACGACCAGCCCAGTGATCATAGCCTCTCACGCTTCGAGTCGGGTCCTAACTTCAGGCGTAAAAGGCAACAGCGATTAACTAAGCGGGGCAAGCACATTCGATTCAGGTTGAAAGGGTCTCGGAGGCGAGCGAAACAGCTTTTCTGCCGGCGCAGGACCGTCTAAGAATCTGTGAAATAGGTTGCTCGTAACATCACTTTAACCAGGGAACTCTAGCGTTTATTAGCGTTTATCTCCAGTCTGTACTTTTTAACGACCTATGTTCTCACGCTCAGGAAAACGCAATTAGCGATGTCATCTCCATCTTTTTTTTTTTAATTGGTCCCGGCCTCTCATCATTGAAAACTGCATCTTCTAAACAAAGCTGTTTGCGAATCTTTGCCTGAGTTTAATTCTATTTCTATTTCATGTGTTTGCTTAATTTTCCAGCATCTTAGGAATGTACCTGCAACTTTTTCCATCAAATGACCCATATCTATTTTCGTCAGGGCTTCTTGTAAGACTTCCATCGTGGCATCGTCGCCATTTAATCTCTTCCACTCACCGAGCATCGCATTTCCTTTATCAGTTAGACTCATATGGGCCATATCAAAATAGTTAAGTAGCGAGTTAGCAAGTCCAAGAATTTTCCCGAGCTCCCTCCATTTTGTGCCAAGATCCACTGCAAGGTCACGCAGTAATGAGCGAGAAACAGGTGTAGTCTTCTGACTGCGAGTGCCGAGCACCTTCGCCTTAGCTGCAACAGCAAAGCATGAGAACGTTAGGTCTATCTATCTACGAGCAGAGAAGTGCTAACTAAGACGTCATACCCACAAAGCACCAGAAATTGAATTTGGACATAGGAGCTCGCGGGGATGATCGTTTGTAAAAGAAAGCAAAATAATAAATACAAAACGAATCATAAGTTAGTACACAATCGCCAAAGCTATGGTTGAACGGGCTACAAACACGTGCATCTTGTTTTGAAACATTGCTGCAAAACAAGTTGAAAAGCGTTATGCTCGTTTCACCGCCAACTGCGTTCAAATCAGATACTGAACGTCTTTGTATCTTACCTTTAACAAGCCCCATAGCAGGACTTCCTTGAACTTGGAGAATTGTCATTTTCCCTTTACCCATAACGAAAGCTTTTAAAAGCTTTTCTAAATTTACACTTTTATTCAGTTAGCAACAGATAAAAGAGAGGGCATTTGTTCGTAATTCCAATGTGTTACCATTTGATGGCCTGCTTACTTGAACCGACCTGGTTCGCTTTGCCCATGTGACTTTTACATTGCCTATGTGACTTTTACCATGTAACGTGACGTGTAGCCTGCGTCGCAGGCGTAAATTAACCTCGGTTAGTAACGTCTGCGAAGCAGCACCGATATCCTTGTTCTGGGCACCCAAGGGAGTGAACGAATTACCGAAAGTACGTTTTGAATTTCCTTTCATGCTGATTGTCATATTGATAATGACTTATTTAAACGGCCAATCACGGCGCGTCATCAAATCCTGGTACATAGGTGGGGGCCAAGAACAAAGATTTCGGCGCTGTTTCCCAGAAGGACTCATTGAATCTGACGTTTGCCGTTTGCCGTATACGTGAAGCTTAAACTCTCTATTAAGCATCGCGTTTATGGCAAACGACAAAGGTGAATTTTTACCATGTGACCAAGTTTTCCATTTACTTGTCGTTTACTGTTCATTATACCTACACGAAAATCGGTAGATTCACGTCAATTCTATCATTTTTATCTGCTCATTTCTCATTTTCAAAAATTTCTCAAGTTGAATCTGACGTTTGCCATTTGCCGTAAATGTGATGCTTTTAATGTAAATGCATTATTTTTTAACGACAATGTCTATTTCACCTGCAGGAAGCTTGGAGGCGAAAACGGCTAGTTCTTGGGAAGATTTCGTTTCGGTTTTACCTAAGGAGAATGAAAGAGCACAGAAATTTTAGTCGTCTGAAATGCACGGGTAAAGGGGATGAAGAAGGATGAAATGAAATGAAATGCAGTTGTAAAAGAAAGCAAAATGATAAATACAAAACAAACCATAAGCTGGTACACAATCGCTAAAGCTATGAAAGGGGTACAAACACATACATCTTATTTCGAAACATTGCTGCAAAACAAGTTGAAAAACGTTATGCTCGTTTTACCGCCAACCGCGTTCAAATCAGATACTGAACGTCTTTATATCTTACCTTCAACAAGCTCCATAGCAGGACTTCCTTGAACTTGGGGAATTGTCATTTTCCCTTTACCCATAACGAAAGCTTTTAAAAGCTTTTCTAAATTTACACTTTTATTCAGTTAGCAACAGATAAAAGAAAGGGCATTTGTTCGTAATTCCACATGTGTTACCATTTGATGGCCTGCTTACTTGAACCGACCTGGTTCGCTTTGCCCATGTGACTTTTACATTGCCTATGTGACTTTTACCATGTAACGTGACGTGTAGCCTGCGTCGCAGACGTAATTTAACCTCGGTTAGTAACGTCTGCGAAGCAGCACCGATATCCTTGTTCTGGGCACCCAAGGGAGTGAACGAATTACCGAAAGTACGTTTTGAATTTCCTTTCATGCTGATTGTCATATTGATAATGACTTATTTAAACGGCCAACCACGGCGCGTCATCAAATCCTGGTACATAGGTGGGGGCCAAGAACAAAGATTTCGGCGCTGTTTCCCAGAAGGACTCATTTTTATAAAAAAAAAAATGGTTTGGACAAATGTTATTTTTTCAATTTCAGAGCATTATATATAGACACGCTAAGAGCTTTCACATGGAAAATCAATTGTCACTGTCTCGTTAAAAATTGTTAAGTATAAATTACTCCAGATCCACGGCTGTTCTGCGCATGATAAGCGGAGTCAAAAGCGCAAGATTTGGGATCGAGAATGTTTGCCAGCCCGAAACTGTAACGATCACAGAAACATTTCGAATGAGCAGTGTGTTACCCACTGTCTTGTTGCTGGCTTGGCCCGTGCATTGGGAATTTCCAGCCTGGTCAGTCGGGCTCCTGGCATTACAATACCGTGGACGTCAACAAAAAATTAGTTCACGCACGAGAAAAACAACTCTGCGGGTGCATTACACGTTTTAGTTCATTTCTTTGACGTCCTCTCCAAGACAACGACGTGAAATTTCCTAATCTGGCACTTTACGGGGTACATAAAGACGGAATTTTTCTTTCCGTCTTAGTTGGGCGCGGTTTTGAAGAATAAACATTTAAGAAAAGTCGCCAATTTTTTGGCAAGTAGACCTATTCGGCCATAAACGTGCCCAATTCAAACCCTTTGGGAATAAAACGTTTTGTTTCAGGAATTTCCATATCATTTAAATGCGAATGCCACATTATAACGCAATTACAATACACAAAGAATCTTAACCCCGGGAGATTTGAATTGGGTACAACATTGAGTTAGCCGAATAGGCCTATTGAGCGGGGCTTAAATATCGGCGATAAAATTTCAAGAATAGAGAGATTAGAGAGGTTAAGCATCACGTTTACGTTAAACGGCAAACGCGAATTTGTGCCTCATGACCAAGTTTCCCCCATTACTTGTCGTTTACTGATCATTATTTCTAGACATAAATTAGTAGTTTCACGCAATTTTTTATCCATAAGAACTGTTTTGAGCTGTTTTTTATCTGCACATTCTCTATTTTATGAAATTCTCAACTTAAATCTGACGTTTGCCGTTTGCCGTATACGTGAAGCTTAAACTCTCTATTAAGCATCGCGTTTATGGCAAACGACAAAGGTGAATTTGTACCATGTGACCAAGTTTCCATTTACTCATCGTTTACTCTTCAATATACCTACACAAAGATCGGTATAGATTCACGTCAATTGTATCCATAACAATTGTTTTTCTGCTCATTTCTCATTTTGAAAATTTCACAAGTTGAATCTCACGTTTGCCGTTTGCCGTAAACGTGATGCTGTTAATGTAAATGCATTATTTTTTTCACCACAATGTTTATCTCACCTGCAGGAAGCTTAGAGGCGAAAATGGCTGGTTCTTGGGAAGATTTTGTTTCGGTTTTACCTAAGGAGAATGAAAGAGCATAGAAATTTTAGCAGTCTTAAATGAACGGGTAAGGGGGTGGAGAAGGATGAAATGAAATGATATGCAGTTGTAAAAGAAAGCAAAATGATAAATACAAAACAAATCATAAGCTGGTACGCAATCGCTAAAGCTATTAAAGGGCTACAAACACGTGCCTGGTTTCGAAACATTGCTGCAAAACAAGTTGAAAAACGTTAAACGTTTGAATTTTCTTTCACGCTGATTGTCATATTGACAATGACTTATTTAAAAGGCTAACCACAACGCATAATCAAATCCTGGTACATAGGTGGGGGCCACGAACAAAAATTTCGGCGCTGTTTCCCAGAAGGACTTTAGACAAATGTTATTTTTTCAATTTCAGAGCATTATATATAGACGCACTATGAACTTTCACAAGGAAAATCATTTGACACTGTCTCGTTAAAAATTGTTCAGTATTTATTCCAGATCCGCGGCTGTTCTGCGCATGATAGTCAAAAGCGCAAGATTTGGGATCGAGAATGTTGGCCAGCCCGAAACCGTAACGATCACAGAAACATTACGAATGAGTAGTGTGTTACCCACTGTCCTGTTGCTGGCTTGGCTCGTGTATTGGGAATCTCCAGCCTGGTAAGCCGGGCTTCGGGCATTACAATACCGCGGACGTGAACAAACAATTAGTTCACTCACGACAAAAATACCTTTGCGGGAGCATTACACGTTTTAGTACATTTCTTTGACGTCCTCTCCACGACTACGACGTGAAACTTCTTAATCATTTTACCGGGGACATAAAGACAGAATTTTTCTTTCCGTCTTAGATGGGAGCGGTTCTTAAGAATTAACATTTTAGACGATAAATCGCCTATTGTTTGGCAAATTGAGCGGGGCTTAAAAACCGCGATAACGTTTCAAGAGTAGAGAGATTAAGCATCACCTTTAAGGCAAACGGCAAACGTGAATTTGTACCAGGTGACCAAGTTTTCCATTTACTTATCGTTTACTGTTATAACTACACGAAAATCGGTAGATTCATGTCAATTCTATCCATAACAATAGTCTTAAGCTGTTTTTATTTACTCTTTTTTCATTTTAAAAATTTCTCAAGTTGAATCTCACGTTAGCCGTTTGCCGTAAATGTGATGCTTTTAATGTAAATGTATTATTTGTGAACCACAACATCTATCTCACCTGCAGGAGGCTTAAAGGCGAAAACGGCTGGTTCTTGGGAAGTTTTCGTTTCGCTTTTACCTAAAGAGAATGAAAGAGCACAGAAATTTTAGTAGTCTGAAATGTACGGGTAAGGGGGTGGAGACGGATGAAATGAAATGAAATGAAATTACATGACATGAAATGACATCAGACCATACCATGGTAAATGTGACACATTGAAATGATTGGCTGTAACGATGTTCGTATGTGGAGACAAAGGAATGATCTACTAAAGGGTATAGAGAGCTTTGCTGGCTCCCGGCTCCGCGCACGCTTAACTCCGTTATCATCACAAACGTGGTCATATATATAAGAAGCGACTGAGACAAAATTACCAATCACACAAGTTTAAAGGTCACAGTTTTTAAAACTAACCAGAGCCATATGAGGACATTTACGATTACCTGGTCTGTAGTTCAAAAAATCTTTGTACGACAAGTAGTCTTCCTCTGAAATTAAAGTTCTCAGTTTAACCTCATTGAGGTCAAGCTTTTCCAGAACCTCTGCCGTTACAAGTGTCGCTTGAACCACTTTGTTAAGATGCCCTGTTCGATACTCCTTCCACAATGCCTCAAGGACTTCTAAAGAACTGCAGGAAACTGTTAGGACCAAGCTGCCTAGTCTGTAGTCTTCAACGTCAACTCCAAGTTTCATTTTCAAGTAGCTGATGAAGAGATTTAACGAGCTCTTAAATGAATAAACAACATACCAGAAATCAAGAATTACCGGACGATTCTGCTGGCTCAAGGCTTGTAGTTGCGTGCTTGTGGATAGATTCGCAGCACTTTCTGCTGATGGCTGCTCTGGAGGTATTGGTATACGTGTCTCCAGACGTTCAGATGGCAATTGGGCACTTTCCACTTGTGGGGATGAACTAGCAATTGGCCCATTTGCCTTAAGACTTTCGAGGAGAATGAGAATTTCCATGTGCCTTTGTTCATGTCTTATTTCCATCTGTTCCATCTTTTCATCTAGCTTTTCGAGCTTATCTTTTGTTTCGATATCCATTAAGTACCATAATCGAAGTTCATCAACACATTTCTTTGCGTCTGGCGTTAGTGGTTCATGGAAAAACGTTTCGATGGACTTCTTCCATTCATCTCTCTTTACACTACTTATCCTGCGGGCAATTCTCAATAGGGCCTCACTGATTTCCATCCAAAGCTTCTCAAAATCAGCATTTGATATCTCCATATTGTGGTTATGACCATAAATTTTGTTACGGTAAAATTTAATTCTAACTAAGTCTGCCTCAAGACTGTGATCAATGCTGTTAGGCAAAATGTCCCATCCAGTTGCAGGAGGAGTGAGGCTGCATATTGCTCGAAGCAATTTACAAAGTAAGCTGATATCAAAATCAGTCGACTTTACATACGTTCCTGGCCCACTTGGGTTGTAAAGGCAGTTCCATTCGGGGTGGGTAAGGACTTTGTTTCTTCTAAGAGTTTGGAGCTGCGTCTTCATTACAGGGTTACTAAGCACAGCTGGAAGGTTGGCTGGTGGATGGATACTGTCAAATACCTCCCTCAAAAGTGCGAGACCTCCACGCATCAGAAGTCGTGTCAAACGCTGAAAATTTGCTTTTTCATCTGTTGTACTTAACGCTTCATCTGCCGCTGATGGTGATGAACCCGTAGCCATTTCTATACCAATATCATAAGTGACACTAAAGAAAAAGAGTGATAGGAAAGACAATGTTACTTAAAACTGAGAGGGGAGAGGTGGGTGGGAAGTTTACCAGCATATTAGTCTAAGCCCAAGTCATTTAAACTGGAAGCCTCGGGTAGGAACGGGATCGAGAATTGAAGTTAGCTTAGTAAAACTAATTAACCTCTAAAGAAAACTGGCAATCCACACAAAATAATAAAAATACGTCTTGCAGCTGAGTACAAACGTGTACTGGATATATTATGACTAACTAAAAACTTTTATTTTACATAGTCAGTTGACAAAAGTGGGTTTTAATTAAAGGACATGGTGTGGAGAAATCATTCTTTTTCCCGCCGCCCCCAGCCCCATCCTGGTTCACTCAATAGGAAGCAATAAGAGGCTCATTACCTCAGAAGGTATATTTTGTCTAAAAGCCAATGCCATTAACCCTCAGACGTACAAAGGGCGGGGGGAGCTGGTGTGAATTTTTTTTTGATTTTTTTTCTTGATGATAAAACATCAGCACCTGACGTTTTCAGTCGCTGTTCGTTCATCCCTCGCGCGCATTTTGAGACAAGTTTAGTTATGGTCAGTTTCTATGGCTACGAGGTGTGACGTCATAAGTAGCAGGTGGTAAAGCCACTTTTGAGTGAAAATGCATACTTTTTCCACTTTTATCAACAATAAAAGTAAACTTGTGGATAAACTGATGCGAAGTGCTGATTTATGTGTTATTTTACATACACAAGCACAAATAATTACCATTTATCGCGATTTTTTTTTCTATAAATTCTTGGTAAAATCCAAGATAGCAGCCAAGAGGCAACCTCATCCCCGGGGCACTTTTCCCTGGCTTTGGAGAAGTGCCCTGGGGACGAGGTTGGCCAAGATGGCGACCATTGCAATGGCAACACCCATAAAAAAAATATACCTCATCTTGTTGAGAAGATCATAGGCTTTCCACTAAAGGCAAAATCGTTTAGAAATACTGCAACATATCAAAAACTCTGGGAAGGGGTTCCATCAACCCCCCCCCCTCCCCCCGCGCCCGATGTACCACGGTGGGGGTATGAATTTGCATGTACATCCCAGGGTTAATCTCAGGGATTAAAATACCTAAAACAAAGTACCAAAATAATTAAGGCACAAGAAAAATTGAGTGAAAATATCCGTTCATGCTGAGTGGTCCAGAAAAAATATTCTTGCATCGGCAGGATTATTTTTAACCTCAAGAAAAAATATTCATGCTCGAAAGTTGGACAAAAAAAAATTTATGAAAGGAAATTGACAACCCTATTCTTATCCCTCACCCCACCTCCCAATAACTTTTCTAATGATCTGCCCCTAAAATGCAAATCTCATAATAATCTAAATTGCTATCGTAGTTGAATTTCTAATTCATTTCCTTCTAACGTATGTACTAGCACGTAATGCAGTTTTGTGGTCTCAGACAGTAAATCAAGGGCACGACTCCCTTAGAACAAGGTACAACTGACACTTGTGATTGTAGTTCAGCTCACTTTGTACTGGGAGTTTTTATAAGAGAGGTCATCTCAGGGCCTTCAAATATCAATTATCAGGTGAATTATGTGAAGGACCAGTTTGCTCAATCAAAAACATTGCGGGAAAGGTAGCTCTAATTCTTTGCATCAATGTAACAATTCTAGCCTTTGACAGTGCAAGAACATCAACTGTTAAGTGTTAAAATATATTAAACCAAAAAAATACAAAGGAGTTCACATAAAACTGCTATCTTTAAGGTCATGCAGGCTGCGTTGTGTATGCATTATGCTAATTTTTATGGGTGAGGACAAAATATGGACCAGAGGTCCATGGACCCCCACTTTGGACCAGGTCCATGGACCACTTTCATGGACTGGGTCCATGGATCCCCTGCTGTCATGGACTGGGTCCATGGACACTTTTTTTAATAATGAGAAATGGACAAAAACAGAAATAGTGCAAAATAAGATTTGACAAGAACCTATCGACATATTTAGTTGTGCTTACATGACCCACACTCTGATTGCAAATGCCGCGGCAGTCGCAAGACTGTTAAGATAATTCAAAAGTTATCACCAAGGGAGGAATTACGTGCTACAGTACAAATACTCTCATTATCCTTAGAAAAACAAGCTGGAGTTTACAATTCATTGCTTTTTAGAGCAATCATGACTTAGTCACATCACAATTCTTCAAAACAGTTGATGTAGCTTTAGTTTTAGCTACAATTCGCTTCTTCTAGATTTGGATCTGTAAATCACTATTGATGAGAATTAATCATGCATCCTGCTAAAAACACTAACGAGCTAGGCCCAGCGTCACAAAACATTGCAGGACAAAGTGACATTCATGGACAAAAAATTCAGAGAAATTAAACAACCTAAAACCCTCAAGCAGCCACAAAAATTAAGAGCTTTACATTTCAAAAGAGGTAGAAAATCAATATGCGTGTCACAACCTCTCAGTATAGGAGATAAGTGGCAAAAATTCACATTTGCTCAGTCAAAACGTTTTCGTTCAAAGCATAATCTACCAGTCAAAGAAAACAATTCATTAGAACAAGAAGCATTTTGGCATGAGGTAAAAGTCGTGTGTAATGCCTACCGAACCCCGCTTTTTTACACTAAGTATGTATTACTAAGCACAATTAATTATTATTACTGCTCAATCGAGCATTGTTTGTTGTTGTTGTCTTAATCTTATTTTTTCACCATTTCTGTTTTTGTTCATTTCTTATTATTTAAAAAAAAAGGGTCCATGGACCCAGTTTTCGAGATTATTACTGATCAATCGAGCATTGCTTGTTGTTGTTTTTCTGTTTTTGTTCATTTCTCACTGTTTAAAAAAAGGTGTCCATGGACCTCATCCATGACAGGGGGTCCATGGACCCAGTCCATGAAAGTGGTCCTTGGACTTGGACAGTGTTTCCAAATACGTCAGAAATGTCTCAGATGGTTTTCTCTATGCTTTGGAAGCTCGTTTAGTTAATTTGGAGTTGCCCTAAAAACTACTTATCTGTTTGGATGTCTTAGGGGAACTAATTTGGTCATCACGAGTTTTAGGTGCCTTTTTCATCTCATCTAGCTACCCTTATGGGTCCAGTCAAAGTAGCCTTGCTTTCATTAGAAAATTATAGGGGACGCTTTTTCTTTATACTGAAAGTTTTAGGAGACCTTTTTAACAATAATCGCAATATCTTGGTATTAGAATGTGAATAACACAACCTTAGAAAATCGTAGTTAAGCGATTAAGTTAAACCTAACCTGGAATGGTTTAATCCAGAAATTTTTAGCTTCTGTCAAGCTTTAGAAATTTCTAGACAATAGTTGCTCCTTCGAACAGTTATTTTACAGAAAAATATCGCAGGGTACCCCTGCAAAGTGGGGGTCCATGGACCCCTGGTCCATGTTTTGTCCTCACCCAATTTTTACGACATATTGTCTGAAGATTTCAATAGAAATGATGCTCATTATTTCATTGAAAATGCGGTCTCGAACATGACAAGTTGTAAAAGAGGACATATGTACCCCACTGGTCCCTCTTACAAGTTAAATTGGGGTGAAACAAATCCAAAATCCTTCCCTTTCTAGCTCTAGAATACGATCAAATGTAACATAATATGAAATCTGTAAAGAGCTGATGCTAAATTTATACCAGCAAAATAGATTAAATTTTTGTGATCACATTTTCTTTGACACAAACTTACCTCAATTTCTAAACAGTGAGCTGGGAGGTTAAAGCAGTTTCCATTCCACTTCTAGATTCTAAACAATTCATCTCAGTATTTTCAGTACTGAACCACTTCCGCCTTTCGAGCCACGTCACATGAATGTGATAAAGATTATGTTGCCAGGCTCGAACGACTGATTTTAAACAACGCTTTAATATGCTGGAAGTAATGGACCCAAAGTCCAGACAGTTACAGTGTTTTTTAACCCTTTCCGCACTTTTTAAAACCTTTTACATGTCGCACGCTGTCGAAGATCTTACAAGTCACGTGACACAGGTCACGAGTTCTCTAAATTGCAATTACGTCATCTCACACACTCCCCGACTTTAAAAATGTCCTCTGTGACATTTGTTACAATGTTCAGTGGAGTTCTCGCCTCCCAACAAATCTCATGCATTACTCCGGTATTTTATACAACAAAACTTATGCAAATACGTAATCAAAACCTATCCCTGTTCGCACGTGATTCAATAAATGACTAGGCACAGTCATAGTTCCATGATAACAATATCATTCATTCGCCTGTTTGAAAGGCACAACAGCACAAAAGGCAGGTAATTAAATAATCAGTTCAACAACAACGTCAATGAGAGTCTTGGGCAGTCAATATGTGCATGCAAATTACACATGAATCATCTGTATACAGGGTGGGTATGCCAGAGGACCATAATATGGTTGTGCAGGGTACTGAAACATAGGTTGTATCCAGGGTGATTGGAATGGTTGACAGCACCATCCAGGGACAGGGTTTGAAGCGGCCCGGACACCACAGATAGTTGGCTCTCCCAGTGTATCGTATGTAAACATTCTTGGCGGATGACGGACACGCTGGGGACGACTTTGTGCCAGGTCTGGTTCCGGTTGTTCCAATTCCGGTTCTGATAGAAATTCTGGCTCTTGCCCAGGACCCGGATCCTCTGGCACTGACACATGTGAGGTGTCTTGATTCTCAGCAGAGTCAGAGTGATTCACATCTGTTGGTTCATGGTCATTTACAGACTGCAGCTCATTAGACGGGGTCTGGACATCAGTGTCTATTGGTACATGTTGACCAGAGGCAGTGCTGGTTTCAGGGTTGACTCTTTCCACCGGACAAGACAATCCGTCAAGTTCCATTGGTGAATGTGTTAGGTGTTCAGCATCATCCGTCTCGCTATCCGTACTTGTCTGTAATGCATCGCGCGTTTGCCTTGCGATCCTAGATCCACGCCGAGTCTTGTTAATTGTTCGATGTTCTTGCTCTGGAGTTACCGGTAGA